ATAATGTCTGTGTTTCTGGTAGAAAAGAAAAAAAAGGCATGTTTAGTAGGGAGGAAGATATACTTTAAAAAAACTAACCATGTGGCTGCTTCCCAGCAATTCTAAGATCTCATTTTAGGTACAAACCACACATTTATATTTACCAGATGAAAAATGGAAAACTAAACAGTACAACATCCTAGCCATATACAAGTAAGGCTTCACTAAGTTCATTCTTTCAACTAAGAAAATTAAGCGAGGTAAGTAAGAATCATCTAATGCACTAAATCAATGAACAGAGAGCATCTTTTAATTGTACATACAAAAAATAAGCAGTGCTCCTTAAAAAGGGCTATTTTCATTTTGGCCTTAGCAGTAGGTATATTTTGACAACAATAGAGTCTCACCAGTAACCAAATATACCTGTAGCCTAAGAGAGAAATCTGGTTGAGACTGCTTGGTTTGCAAGAAAAATTTAACAAATTCTAAGACACCCCACTGGTATTATGTGGCAACTGCTGCAAAATAAGCTACTAAAAAACTAAATGATTAAACTACCAACACTGTATGCATATTTCAGTAAATTTCATGTTTTAAACAGAATTTCAGCCCTGACTGGTGTAGCTCAGTGGATTGAGCACCAGCCTGTGAACCAAAGGGTCGCTGGTTCAATTCCCAGTCAGGGCACATGCCTAGGTTGCGGGCCAGGTCCCCAGTAGGGGCACTCGAGGCAACCACACATTAATGCTTCTCTCCCTTTCTCCCTCCCTTCCCCTCTCTAAAAATAAACAAAAATCTTTAAAAAAAATAGAATTTCAGTACCTCCAAAACGTAACTTAGTGATTTTGAAAGTGTTTTCTAAACTATTTCATGATGTGTTGAGTTCTCAATGTCAGTAACTAACTTCAAAATAATTTTTTGCCCTGACTGGGTGGCTCAGTCGGCTGGGCATCACCCTGCCAACCAAAAGGTCACCAGTTTGATTCCAGGTCAGGGCACACGCCTTGGTTGTGGGCCAGGTCCCTGGTTGGAGGCATGCAAGAGGCAACAGATCAACGTTTCTCTTCTTCTCTTTCCCCTGTCTCCGCCCCTTTCCCCTCTCTCTAAAAATAAGTAAAATCTTTTTAAAAATTATTTTTTTTTAATCCTCATCAAAGGACATTTTTATTCATTGCTTGGCGGGGGGCAGGAGGGTGCGGGCAGAGAGAGAGACAGACAGACACACACACACACACACACACACACACAGACATCGCTGTGAGAAACACCAACTGGTTGCCTCCCCTATGCGCCCTGACCAGACATAGAATCCACAACCTAGGTATTTTGTGCTCTAACTGGGAATTGAACCTGCAACTTTTTGGTGTATGGTATGATCCTCCAACCAACTGCGTCACATCAGCCAGGACTAAAATTCTTTAATAAAATTTGGGTTATTTCTCACATTGCTCAGATGGCTCAGTTGGTTGGAGTGTCATCCAGGCACCAAAAGGTTGCTGGTTGGATTTACAGTCACGGCAGGTACTGGAGGCAACAGATCTTACTTCCTCCCTCCTTCCATCTCTACAATCAGTGAAAATATCCTTGGGTGAGGATTTTTTTTTTAATTGGGGCTATTTCTCAAACCACTTGATATAATGTACACATTTACCTAGGCTTTAGAAAAAAATTATATTCAAACTCGGTATTCATGTGATTACTAAAAAAACCAGAAGTCCTTGACACATTCTTACACAAAGTAAATTTCAAATAAAGACCTCAATCACAACCTAGAAGGAAAAGAAAAATAGGACTCAGTGGGAGGCATATGTATGTACATTGGTAAGAAATTGAGAACATGTAATTTATCATATTTCCCTTTTTGAAGTCAGAGTTAGATCTAAGTTTTCTATGGCTCCCATAGCTGCATCCTAACTCTATTCCCCACCTTGACCTATCTGTAAAACTTTCCAAGTCTTTAATTTGAATTATTGTATGTGCCCTCATAAAGCATCTCCACTGAGACATAGATAGGTATAAATAGTATGTGGTAAGTCTACTTGCATTAGCTTAATATTAAAAAATATAATAAACCCTTAAAAGCAATTCACACATAATATACACAAGAACAATCTCATGTAGGGATTAAGAGCAAGGGCGCTGGAAGATTCCAATCAGTTCTGCCACCTACCACGATGGTAACTAAATTTAATCACGGGGACTCTTCTTTCGAATTCCTCCTTTATCAAGTAAACAAGGTGAATTAGGAAAGGAATTCAAAACGCTCAACACAGAGCCTGGCTGTTCGCTGTGTCAGGCAATGAATGGTGGCTACTATGTTAACATGTTATTTTTAATATGGTAGTAATTATTATGTACTAATCAGCTATTTGTAAGGCTGTGTGAAGTCTAGATAGATGGTTGACATGCTCGTGTGATAGAAAGGGGAAGGAGGATAGGCAGTTGGCAGGTCCTGAAGAGTGAATGGTATCTGAGGCTAAGCAGAGAGAAGCCAAACCACACAGGTCCCACAGCAGAGAAGTAACCTCATGGGTACAAGGGCACAAGATGGGGAGGCCTGAAATACCCTATGGCAGAGGGAAATTAGACTTGCTCCCTTACCTCCCAAAATTCTACAGGAAAAGATCTAATTCTAATATGTAATTATACCCGCAAAAGTACTACACGATCTTGCTATGAAAAGACAAAGGAAGTGCCAAGATGATGGATGTTCCTCCCACAGGCAGGGGAGATTGTTGGACAGGAACAAGCAAGAAAGCACCCAGAAGCGGACACCCAGTGTGCAGAACTCAAGACGCCTCCCTTGAGATCAGTAGCAACAAATAGACAGCAAATGGATACATATGTTGTTCTCAAACCCACAGCTGTTTTTGCCTCTAACCTATACACTGAGAAGAGCGTAAAGGGGCTATGTTATTGTTCTCAAAACCACCGCTGTCGTTGCCTCTAACCTACACAGTGAGAAGGGGGTAGAGGGGCACATGTTACTGGCATCATCAGCTTTATTGCAAACTTGTCCCCTATCTTCCCAAAAAAGTTAGCAGATTCAGTCAGTATGATTCATCCATGATGCATGTGGAGATAAAGAACTACAAGCACTTTCAGGAAGGAAACAAAGGGAACTGGGACTCCCTGCTTTTAGTCTAGAGGGTACTAATCACAAATCCAACTAGGTAACTTCCTTAAATAAAGGCATATTCCAGTCTCCCCTGCCCCATCTCCTCCCAACCCTGCAAGATAAGACTGTCAAGCTAAATGGTGAATTTCTGGAGCTGTATTTAGATTGCTTCATTGATAAAAGGACAAGTTAGAATCAATTCCTCTGATAATTTATCAGTTACAATATGAAAAGCTGTGAGGAGAAAAAAAGTGAAATATAAACCAGCCTTTTCACTTTCACATGTTCTTCATAACTTCTGGTATATTTTACCTCTGAAAAGAGGTGGACAAAGTGGAAATAAAATTCCAACCTATGCATTGTGCAAGCAACTTTTATAAAAGGTTTGTATGAAAATAAGTCTGCCAGGCCAAAAAGAACATACCTGCAGACTTCATTTATCTTTAATATTGTCTTGGATAATCCCAAATTAGATTGTTATAATTAATAAATCCAAAATCTTCCACAAGTATTTATGCACAAATGCCCCTATGTTGGTCAACTATATAATCTAATATATGTGTTTATAAAAAGGTCTGAACACAGAAAAATTTCTAGGATACCTATCCATCTTACTAAGGGCCACCTAGAGATCAGCACAATTATGAACATTTCTACTGACTGATCTTTCAAATTTTTACTGAAGTGCAGCTTCAAGAGTAAGTGTGTGAAAGCACATAGTTTTATTAACTTAAGAGTTCTGTAATAACAATGACACCAGTAACATAAAGTGTATCAATTTCCTCCGGGTTCAAACAACATAGACATTCAACGTCTTTGCTACTGCATGTAAAATGAGCAACCTTATTTCAATTTATAAATACAGTATTTGCCAACACAGATGCACTTACCACTAGGTGATATACTTGTTTTATCATCTGCAAACTGTTTATTTTATATAGTCAGTTAACACATATAACCTGAATAGTAACCGTATATCAGCACCATTCATTCATTGCATACCTATTTACTGAGCACCTTTATTCAACATTTACAGTGTATAAGATATTAAAGTAGAATAGTCTTCATGTCTGCGGACAGGCACCCGGAACACAAGTTTCAGGACTAAGAGCCACAGAAACTCAACCACAGTCCCAGCTCTCCCACTACCCATCTGTGTGACCTTGGGGAGGTCCCTTCACCAATCTCTAAACTTCAACTGCCTAATCTGTAAAATTGTATGTTTAAACCAGGTAATCCCATCCTTTCCAGCTCTAAACAGTATGACAGTACGATCAATTCGAGGTTAGCGACAACAGCATCCCATGCCACGGTGCTCTTTCAGCACCTAGCAAAGAAGTACGCTCGATGAGCGAAAGGCAGAGAAGGCCCAACTTCCACTGCCCAAGATTCCTCGACGTCCCTTCTCACTCTTCGGCTATCTCTGCAAGGCATCTTTAGCGTAGTCAGGTATCTACAGAGACGGAGCACAAACTCCGCAGCCACCTCTCTTCCCGCACCCAGAGTAAACAGCTCAAGGAGGGAGCCACTTCCCTCCCTTTCCCGCCAGCGAGGACCCAGCAATCTGCCCAGCACCTCGCAGGGAGGGATGACGCGCCCCCTCCGCGACCCCAGGCTGAGCTCCTTCCCCCAGCACCTGCTGACCGCCCACCTCGGGTCCGCCCAGCCTCCCCGAGCCGGCATCACGTGGCCACCGCCTCGCCCCGCCCCCGCGCCAGACCCGTTTTTTGGCGCGCGGCAGTGACGTCAGTGTCCTGTCACCCGCCCCCACCCCGCCGGGGCCCCAGCTCGTTCGCGTTTTAAAATCGGCCCCGCCCCGCCCCGCCCGCCGCGTCCGCGGGGGCTGCCGGCCACCTGGCCACACCGTTAACCGTCCGGCTGTCCCGCGCCCCGCCCCGCTCACCTTGAGGTGGCCGCTGTCTGGGCTGCTCGCCTCCTCCTCTTCCTCACCCCCGGAGACGCTGGGAGGGGGCGCGCCCCGGCCCCGAAGCCCCGGGTGCTGAGGGGCGGCGGCGGGCAAGTTGGCCGAGGCGGCAGCCCCTGCGGCACCGGGGCTAAGCGTCACATTATGCGCATTCTCGCCCCAGCGCCACGGGTACACCATAAAGTCGCTGAAGCCAGGACTAGTGGGAATGAGCGGCGGGGGCGGCTCCGGCTCCCCTCCGCTGCCGCACGTGGCCTTGATCGGGGTCGTTCTGATGACCGACACCAGCACCCGCTTCGGGGAGTCGTGGCAGAAGATGACCGGCGGCGGCTGCGGCGGGTTTTCCGCCATCGGCGCTTCCACGCCCCGAATCATCGTCCTGCCCCGATCCGCAGCTCCGGCGGCTGCTGGCCGCACTCCCTGAGCCCGGATCTAGCCTTTCGCGCCGCTCTCCCGCTCTGCTCCGAGTTGCTGTCTCTCAGTCCCGCTGGCTCATGGCAAGCGGACGTTTCCTGGAATCTTCCTGTGCGGCGGCCAGCGAAGGAGCGGAGTAAGCTTAGGCGGGCACCGGGTGGTCAGTGCTAACCTCCAACCTCGGGTCAAGCCCGTCCTTCGCTCTTTGTACCCCCCAACGCAGGCTGCAGCCACGGGAAGTAGCGAGCGGCCTGGTTTGAGGTGACAGCAAAGCAGAACTCACGCCTCTGAACCCCCGAAAATAACAACCTGCCGCTGTGGTCCCCACTCTGACTTTTCCCGCGTTACATTTCGCGCCTGGGCGGAACCAATCACCGCAAGGCCCCTGCCCGCTGGCCGCAGCGGCGAGTGACAGATCACGCGAACCAATGGCCGGGCCTACACTTCTTTCTTAACAGAGTGAGGCGGGGCCGGGCCAGCGCGCGGGTTCTTTCTGGCGAGCCATTGGCCGCCGCTCTGGTATTTTTTTTCTGCCTGGATGGCCAACAGCGTTCGAAACTCCTGGGGAGCGCGCGACTTCTGCACTCGCCCAGGGACCCCGCGGGGAGCCCCGCCCCCTCGGCCCAGGCGCCGGGTGTAGGGGCGGAGGCGCAAAGAGATTGGGAGGAACACGGACCAGAAGCGAAAGTTGCTGATTGGACAAGAGTGGACAAGGGGGCGGAGCGGGGGCAGTTGTGGGCTGGTGAGGGTGCGCGCCGGCCCGCTTCGCCAGCCTGCGGCTGTTGGGCTGAGGTTCCCGCGCGCCGGGAATTTAAAGGGCTGCGGGCCGCACGCCTGGCACTCGGCTCGCGCTACTTCTCTGCAGATCTGAAAGCCTTCCCACTACACAAGTTTTCAGTGGACGCCTAGAGGTGTCGATTTTCTTGATCGGTTTCCATTAGCCCAGCTGTTGAACTCGCTGTGAATTGACCCTGTCCGCGCTCCCCGACTCTCCCCACCCCAGGCGTAGGTGGGCAACAGCCATCCTGGGCCTTGGTGGTCCGTCTTTGTAAAACGTAATTAAAGACGTAGTCTCCGAGGTCCCCGTGTACTGCTCACGGCGTGGAGAGGACACGACTGTGTCCGCTTTCACACCTGGGTCCGATGCACCAAAGTTGCCTGGAGGATCCCCGCCCCGCCAGTGGTTCCCCCCAGTTCCGAATCCTCTCCGTCCCCGCGTTTGGCTTCGCGAGAAGCTCCAGGCCCCCCACAGGGTTCCCGTCGATTCAGACTCCTCTGTCTGCTGTCTCTCGCCTCAGGACCCCACCCAGAACCAGAGAGATGCCGAACAATCTTGGGAATTCGAACCTGAGTGTCAGCCACCGAGGGCCAGCATGGGCCTCTGAGGCACCACACAGCAGATGAGGCAAAATGCAATGTCCAGCCTCAAGCTCAGTAGAATAGGAAAGAAGTGACTGTTTTGTTCTTGGTTGTATTGCCAGAGCCTTGCCTGACTCGTGGTAGGCCTTCAAAAAATATTTGTTCAATGAATGAATAAAATGTATGAATGAATATACAGTAGTTAGAGGTTAGAATTGGCAATTAAATTAGAACACACCAGCTGGCTCTAGCTCTCGCGCTCTCTTTCCCTCACACTCTCCCACCGTTCTTTCCTCCCTCCCTCCCTCCCTCTCTCTCGCGCTCTCTCTCTCTCTCTCTCTCTCTCTCTCTCTCTCTCTCACACACACACACACACACACACAGCTATACCTAAGTTAGTTTAGCCACAATTGTTTAAAAAATCCTACTGATACGAACAACTTCTAAGGTACGTTTTTAAATGACAAAAAGGAAAACGTAATATAATAAGATTTTATTCATTTTTTTTTAAGGCAGGGGAAGACTATACATTTTTGCTTTTAGATGTACAGAATATGTCAAGCAAGATACCCCAGAAAACGATGCATCTCGGAGGAGGAGAATTATGTTTCTGGGAAATAAGTGGAAAGATTTCAAAAGATACAATATGAAACTCTTTGTATCACCTTGGCTGGTGTGGTTTAGCGGATTGAGCATTAGCTTGTGAAACAAGACGTCTCTGGTTCCACTGGCAGTCAGACACATGCCGGGGTTCTGGGCCAGGTCCACAGTTGGTTACGTGTGAGAGGCAACTGATCAACGTTTCTCTCACACATCAATGTTTCTCTCTCCCTCTCTTCCTCCCTTCCCATTCTCTAAAAATAAAATCTTTTTTAAAAAAAACTCTGTATCTTTTGAACTTTGAACCAAGTGACAGTATCTTTTCAATAAATAAAATAGTATATAGCTAACATTTCCTGGAGGCCTACTATAATAATAATATCTACAAATACAATAAAGTGAATGGAAGCCTCACATTCTGCCATCAACAATTTTGTGAGGCAAATAGTATTATTCCCACTTTATAGATAAAAAAAAATTGAGGCTTATCCAACATAACAAAATAAATAAATCCTTTGAAAAGATGCCTCCAAAAATTGCCCATGGATTATACCTCAAATCTGAACAAAAAGAGGAAGAGGCTAAAAAATGGGGCCTTCACCTTTCTGAGTCACATTCCTCTTATTTCAAAACTTTCAGGTTTTAGGGTTTAAATTCAATTGGATACTTTAATGAATAGTTGATGTGGAAAGTTGAAAGTTCACCTTTCATTTCACTTAATTTAATAAACATTTTGTTTTTACAATTTAATGCCAAATGATTGCACCATTTTACTTCTGACTCAGCTGGAAAGAAAATGTAAACCATCTATTTTCTACTTAAAGTAAAAAAAAAATAAAGTGCACGCTCAAATTACGGGTTAAGCAAGATTAAGCACCAACTGATAGTTAACTGTTTAACATTCATAACATGCCCCAGAGTGCAAGATGAATCATTCAGAACAAGGACACTGGCTTTCTGTTTCTAAAAATTACTCTTCATCAACAGTAACCTGGCAACTCCACATTCTCTCTGCCACAAGAGAATATAAGACATGCCAGGAACATGCAAAGTGGGCAGAGGGTGATTCCAGGAGCAAAGCTAAGGTCTTGCAAGATCTACTTGTTTGGCTGTTTTAATGCAACTAGAAAGTTGTCTGAAGTGAGCAAGTCATCATATTCCTGCTGTCTTTGTTCTGCCCCAGACATGGTCAACAGCCCATGGTGTAGACTAACTCTGAAGAATACTTAATCCCATCTCAGAACACTTACTATATTATTACAGTAGTCTTTCCTATTGTTAAAAATGTAGACCTCTTCTACAGAGAAAGCTATATACCTCTAGGCCTCTTTTTTAAATATACTTTAATGTTTCAAGGTAAAATCTGAAAAACAAAGCAAAATTTTTTTTTCAGTTTGGAAATACAATATTAATAAGAGCTCTTGAAGCTGCTTGGTTGCTACAAAATATTTTATCCTAGTTAGCTTGAGAGACTGAGCATAACATAAATCCTTTTCAATAATTTGTCTTCACAGATAAAGTACAGGTAAAACAACTTCACAGATAGATATAGATTAAAGAGGTTAAAAATGTCCGATCACTTGTTTTGGGAGTGACAAGAAGATATTTTACCATATAAATTCTCCAAAATAATTTTCTCAATGTTATCTTTGGCAAGAGACTCAAACTCGAGTTCCAAAAATCTCCTAAGAAAGACAGAAATCTAGGGGGAAATGGTTTCCCATATTATTTCAATGGGATGTTTAAGCTCTGACAACAGGAAAATACTTGCACAGACCAGGTACATTTTTCATCCAAAAGAGCCTTCTCAAAATATTTTCCAAGAATCTTGCCCATGAGAGTTTCATCAATTCAAGAGAATAAAGAAACAATTTTTAGCATCAATTTGCCATATCTACTGTCACAAATGCCCAAATATCTCTTATTGAGCAATGGTGGTATTGCTACTTTTCTTAGATCTAGTTCTTTTGGTTTCAAATAAAAAATCTAACTTGGGTTGCAGGTAGAAGTATGCCAATCAGACCAGGTTAGAGAACAGAGTTACTAAAAGGAAACACGAGTGTCTAATAAATCCAAAGCCAGGATTAGAACCTGGAACTTGTCATCAGAACCCTCTGGGGACACATGGTTTCTGTCGTCAGTTACTCTCTCTATAAAAAGTGCTTCATCCCACCAATCCTTAACTGTTTTATCTGATCTTTACCCAATTCCAATCAATCCATTGAAAGACCTTCTTAAGCCTAACTTCAAATTCTCAATAAGTTTTGACATGACTTTCCTCTCTTTGAGAGACTGACCAAGCTAAGAGAAGTTGTAGTTCTCCTTTACCAATGCAAGAAATAAACACAACTTTGTCTTAGCAACAGATTGTGTTGGTGATATTTGGGAGCCATACATAACTTGAAAGGGTTAACAAAATTCCACTATGTCCATGAGTTGCTTTTAGTAAATAGGGCAAGTAGTGGCTTCCAGTCAAGATAATGGTGTAGGCAGACATGGCTCACCTCTTCACACAACCACTTCAAAATTACAACTAAAATATAGGACAACCATCACGCAGAACCATCAGAAATCCAGCTGAATGGAAATCTGACAACTTTGGAATTTAAGAAACCACATGCATTCAGGCTGGTAGGAGGGGTGCAGATGCAGAGCAGGCTGGTCTCTCACCCATGTGTATGTGGAGCAGGAGGAATATCTCAGGAGTGAGCAGGCCCAGCCCTAGCCCCACACCAGACACCCCAGCCCAGGGTTCCAGTGCCAGGAAGGTAAGTCCCCACAACTTCGGGCTGCAAAAACCATCAGGGATTGAGTCAGTGGAAGAAACTGTTGGTGCCCCAGGCAGTTCCTCTCAAAGAACCCACACACAGACTGACCTACTCAGACTCACTTCCTCTGCGCTTCAGTGCCAAGGTTGCCACTTGAAGGGCACCAGTGGCATACTGAGGAAGGTTGAAGTATCTGGCATCAGGGTGAGCAGAGGCCATTGTCATCTTTCTGAG